CTTTTTTAGATTTTTGCGTTGTTAAACTATTTGATATTTTAAATCTCTAAAATTTAATTGTTTGAAAAATTTGACGTATGAAATCTTTGTTAACAAAAAATATATATATATATATATTTATATTTTTTTTTTCCTTTTTTTTTAAAGTTTTTTTTATTGTTGTTTCTAGCTTTGAATTGTGAGTCTTTTATTTTTGAGGGCTTTGATCATCAACATCTTTTCTTGGATTCAAATCTCTTGTCACATCATCCTGGCCGATTCTCATATCGTCCTGGTCGATATTATAATTCCTTCAAAATTCCTTCTGCTGAACCTTTTTCTGAGCTTGCTATAACTCTTCGTCCTGAACGATAATATATTATCCTGGACGATCTGATCGAACTCTATTGCAATCATGATGATAGTCTTGGCCGAAAACATATTTCGTCCTGACCGATGTATTTTATGGTCATCGTCCTGGCCGATACACTGAATCGTCCTGGACGATCCACGTGTCAGCACGTTTAAATCCTTAAAATCGGCCCCGGACGATCTATTATTGGACAATCGTCCCGGTCGATCCACTGTTCGTCCTGGACGATACATGTGGCACAGATCTAAAACATTTTAACTTCGACCGATATGATCAATTATTATGCATCGTCCTAGACGATACACCTAATCGGCCCGGACGATATTCTTTTTCAACGGTCATCCGACTTGACTCTTCGGGATGATCGCCTGTTTCTAATCAGCCTGGTCGATATCTGATCGACCCGACCGATCAGACCGCCTTTTTGACCAATCAGCCTGTACGCAATTATTCTGCCATATTATCCTAGACGATTCTGTGATCGGCCTGGACGATATGTCCATTTCTTTAAGTTCAGGCCATTCCAGCCATGTTTTTCACTTCACATCCCTTCTCCTCTTGTGTTTTCCTTGCTAACTCCTTTCTATGGCTGGTGGGAAACGAGTTCGATAGGCTTCTGGAAGTTCCTCGAGGGCCACTCTGGACCCTCGATTCAGGGAGGCAGAGGATCAGGCAGCTTACCGTCGCTACAAAGAGTGTGGCATTACCCTTTCCGGAAAAATCAATCCTGCATACCTTTCATATCCAGTAATGGATATCTTTGCCCACACTTCTATTTGTTTTATACTTACCCTCCCTGTCCCTTTTTCTTCTGAACTTATGCTAGAATTTTATGCAAATCTTTGCATAAATTCTACTTTCACAGCCTTGAACTCCTATGTGAATCGACATCCGGTCGAGATCACATATCAGGACTGTGCGGAACTTTTACAACTATCCACCACCGTGGATAAGCTGCACATAATCATTTCAGATCCTGATTTTGATTGGTCCACGACAAATCATTTTCTTCGCCAAACCAACACACCCTTTCATGTTGGAGAGACTAGCTCTTTAGTCAAAGATGCTAGGACAATTTAGCATGTCCTTCGCACCTCAATTATTCCAAAAGCCGGGTACCGAATCCACATCACTCCTCTACTTTCTTTGACTACCTTTTTCATCATGGCCTGGAGAGAATTTAATGCCACTGATCTACTCTTTCGCTACATTGATCATTTAATAACTATTCGTGATCCAGGCCATAGGAGGAAACCCAACCTTGCTTTAGGACATCTCATAACCTACATTCTTGAAACCAAATACATTCTTCAATATCTTGCTCGTCATGACCTTCAGCCTCCTTGCTACTCAAATAATTCTTTCACTATCCTTCATAGTACTCGTCTCCACCCAGGAGATGGGGAAGGTCGGGGGGCTGAGGAGGAGGAGGCTCCCGCTCCTGCTCCTGATCCTGTTCCTCTCTACATGCACTCACTGTTTGATCAGTTAATAGAGAGGTTTGATCGATGGGAGACTCACTTCGATGCTTACGTTGCTGCACAGGAGCAACAACATTCTGAGGATATGGCCCGCTACGAGCAACACCGCACAAAGGACTTAGCCCGTTTTGACAGCTTCATTACTCACCAGTAGCAGCAGTATGACCAGGACATCGCCTGGTTCAATGCTCAGTTCACTACGCTAGTTAGCTACTTTCAGAAGCCACCTCCACCACCTCCATCTGATGATCAGGGTCCCTCATTTTTCTAGTCTTTGTTTTTTGTTTTCTGTTTTCTGTAGTTTATCTTATAGTTTGTTTTAGTCTCTATTGTGTTGTTTCATTTTTCTTTTTATGTGTCTAGGACCCTCTTTTGTGATGATAAAAGGGGGAGTAGGATGTGGTAGGAAAAGTTGATGTGCTTGTAACTTTGAAAGTTTAATGAACTTCTATTTTTACTGAGATTTTCCTACTTGTGTTTGCCATTATCAAAAAGGGGGAGATTATTGCAAATCTATTTTCATGACTTATGTTTTGATGATTGACAAACCCTATTGATTCTCTTGGACTACATGTTACTTCTAACTTTTCAGGAATCGAAGATCAGACGAACAAACGAAGCCAGTTCAAGATTGCGTAGGTTAGGATTGAGTCAGTCTGTACTTTACTTTTTTCTCTTCTTGAGTCTATTTATATTGTTAAAGTTTTCCTCGGGCTGGACGGAGATTGGCTCTAAAAAGACAAGAAAGAAAGAAAATTCTATTAACCCAGGAATTAAGGTATTTACATCGTCCTGAATGATCTGACTTAAAATAGAAATTCTAATCAGAGATTCTTAATTAAGTCAGCCATCATTAACCGATCGTCCTGGACGATACGTGTATCGGCTAGTACGATAAGCTCAAAACCGAAAGAAATTGCCGCCATAAACAATTAAGGTATTCTGAATTTTCGGTAATTGGCCTGAATGATATTTTATAATTATGCTTTAATTGATCAGACAAATCAAGGAAGTAATTAAGGATGCGTGATACAATCATATCGTCATGGACTATCTCAGGATCGGTCGGGCTGATCTGTTCAAAAACCTTAGTTACTTCTGGACGATAAATATCGGCCAGCTTGAATTCAGGGCGATGTTCTGGACGATTTTCCTCTGATTTGTACTGATTGTCCGGGACGATTGTGAGATCGTCCTGGACGATCAAGCAAATTTTAAATCGTCCAGTTTGCATTCAAGGTGATGCTCTGGCCGATCTTCAGTGATTTGTACTGATCGGCCAGGACGATGTCCATATCGGCCTGGACGATATTGTCGGCAACTTGCAATTAATGAGCTCCTTTGAAGCTCTTCTATTTAAGGGCTTTTGTTCAACGTTTTGAATAATCTTTTGCTGCTACCTTGACCTGAGAAGACCTTGAGGAGAGAAAGAGAGAGAGAGAGGGAGAGAGAATCTTGTGAGGGGGAGCTTGTGAGGGGATTCACAAGGGTAGCTTCTTCTTCGTCTCCGTGGAAGGGTCGGTAGAGGTGAGGATTCAGCATCTGATTATGGTTCTCTGCCAGCATCAAGAGGAAGAAAAATGAGATAGGTTCTCTGCCTTGCCGGGTAGCAAAAAGAGGTTCTTTGTAAAGGCTTCTCCGCCTAGCTGTGGGGGTTAAAGAAGAGTCACGATTGTAGTGCAATACTCGGAGGGCGCCTCCGGGGAGTGGACATAGGTTGAGTTGACCGAACCACTATAAATTTCTGTGTTCTTACTTCTTGCTTCCGCACTTTAAATTTCCGTACTTATTTTTTTGTGGTGTGATTTTGGTTTATGAGATTTTTACTTCTTTGTGAATTTTTTTTTTAAAATACCAATTCACCCCCCCTCTTGGTTAGCTTGGGCCAGTTCTATAGGGCTTAACATCCCTAACAAACTTTCAGAAGGGATTGCTAGGGAATATGATATGGCCAAAAGTCAATATCAAGATTCAAATAAACATATTAATATGTATACAAAAAGTTATGAGAAGTATGTTGCAAATGTGGTTAATTTCTTGAGGGCATAGGAATTGTGCGAGAGGTACTTTACAAGTAAAGATAAATATCCACGATGTATCAGATACCTACAAACAAGAAAAGAAGATGAAATATAAGTTCAAAACACCTATGAGTTGTTGCAGTAAATCTTTTGTATGAAAAACAAACTACCTACGAACATCAAATGGTTACAGTAAACATAAATGAATACGAATTGTAGAGGGAGACTTGTTGTGCATACGATGTGCAATCTAAGGATACGTATAGAAGATTTACAGTACATACAAGTGTTGAGTCTAGTAATTAGGTTGTTAAGCCTAAGTAAATGTCCCACGGCTACCAAGAGGGGGGTGAATTGGTAGTTTTAAAAATTTTAAACCCTCTTAATAATAAAGTTGAACCGAAATAAAATTTTCTTAAGATTTACAGTACATACAAGGTCTCTATGAATACAGATGTAGCAACCACATGCCACTAGTGGGTAGATGCAAAAAAACTTCAGTAAATATAATATCTTGTAGTTAATTTTTTCCTATGAGTGAATACATCTACCTACCTATGGTAAACAATAGAAGATGTACTAAAAAGACCAAAGATTATAGCAAAATGCATAATTAATACAACAAATACAAGCTCCTACCACCTGCTATAGAAAACCCGTCAGGCACTCAATATGTCATTCTCGGGCAAACATAAAAGGGCTGCAACAATATTTTTTAGGAATGAATATCTTATATATATCTCATATACAACCCGACGCGTGTTCAATCCCTACAATACTCGCTCGAGGAAGTAATTATTGATTTTGACGTATAGGACATTAACTCGGATACATTTACTTAAGGTTGAAATGACTAATCCTTATTTAAGCCAACAAAAAAATGATGTTGATGGCGTAACCTAGTAGTTGCTTATCAATCTCAATACAAGTTCCGAGAATAGAAAGCCAGATCAAAACATTATTTTCAAAGATGGAATGAATCTTAGTTTAACTAGGTTCTGAATATTGAGTTAGATAAGATTATTGAGGCTTACAATTTCCTTAATAAATAGTGGTCATGCATCCAACATATTATCCACAAGTAAATATTGAAAAGACTACAACAAAATGAACTTCTATGAGCCAATATAAAAGACCTGTCAAATGTCTAAACTGCCCCTGCACATGCACCAAAGCTTGTATACATATAGGTACATAAAAGGGGTAAGTGCAGTCAAAAAACCTGCATGACTCCGGCAAGAAAGTTATAGATACACATGTGATGTTTAGGGATGCTCTGCAGGTCAACAAATAAGCCCAAGTTTGAGCCTGATCTTCCTATGTGGGTAGACAAGAGTCGACAAGGCTCAAACCCTTAAATAAATTTACGATTGTGAGGTCAACCAAGATCTTTTTTTTAATACATTCATATTAGGCCTTCAATGCCTTCAATTAAAAAAATTCACCAATAAAGGCACAAGGCCTATGATGAACCCGGTCCTCTATCTACAAATTAACAGAGTCAATAGGATTCAATGAACAAATAAAAATGATCCCAAACACCCTAATGATGGTCATATTGAATATTTATCTCAATCGAAGGGGATCCTACCTTTTTAAATGCTCTTAAATTTCTATAAATATAAACACTTACAAATGACCCCCTAAATCCTGATGATGACCATGTTGAATGTTTATCTCAAATGGAGGGGATCCAATCTTTTCAAATGCTCCTAAATTTCCACAAATACAAACACTTACAAATGACCCCATAAACTCCTATGATGGCCATGTTGAATATAGATCTCAACCGAAGGGGTTAGTTCAAGATGTTTCAAATGCTTCCCAAATACCCATGAAACTCAAGATCTCTAAAATTCCAAACAATAAGATATTTAAAATGGAATCTAACCATTTAAATAATTAAAGTAAAATCCATCCACCCTCCATAATAGTTTGTTGGGGTAGATAAATTAAAGTTTTATCTCAGCTAACATAGAGCTAATGCTTAGTCAAAAATATCACTAAGATTTATTCTCAAATTATCTCTTGCTAGTAAGGATGTGGTATATATTCTTTGATCGATGGTTTTACCAGCAAATGACCTTGCACTATAAACAGTAATGACCTGGGGACCTCTAAACCAAGTGATTTTTCTAAATAATAACACCACAGATAACAGTTATGGCTAGAGCTAGTACATTCCTTAATGGTATCAAATTCTTGAGATATGAATCAATAGGATATTATCAATAGGGCAAAAAGCCCATTATTAGCTTAGGTGGATTCAAATATGTCTTAGTAGAAAAATACCCATCCTAGTTCTATAACATACCCTTGGACAAAGAATCCCATGGCTGCAGATAAGGATCCTTCTATCAGATTGGGTCGACTACTTCCTCTAACTAAGTAGACCAGGGACCACAATGGACTAGGATAATGAAACCATGAGATCTTCATCGGGTCCATCATCCATTCCTCAAACATCAGATTTAAGTGCAAGATGGGTAGTGTCTTATATACAAATTCATCTTACTTCCCAAAATTTACCCTAGAACTTATTTTGTTAAAATTCCTCCCTGGAGAAAATGTAAGCAGATGGAGGCTGGGGCCAATTTTTTGGAGCTCACATATTTATGGTGACTTCACTAAGGATTAATTTTTCTTTCCATCTTTTGCTTTGAAAGTTCATCAGGGATGTTAGGCCCTTATGAACTAGTCCTGAGGCTAACCAAGAGCAGGGTGAATTGGTATTTTCAAAAAAAAAAAAAAAATTCAATCAAAAACACAAACACAACCAAACTAAGATTCACCACCAAAGAAATGAAGTAAGAAAATTAAGTACTGAAGAATAATAAGAAAGAACACACTAAATTTTATAGTGGTTCGGTCAACTTGACCTACATCTACTCCTCGAAGCCTCTCCTCTAAGTATTGCACTAGACTCAGTGTCTCTCCTTTTGCCCCCACAACAAGGCAGAGAAGCCCATACAAAAACTCCTTTCCACCAAACCCGGTGAGGCAGAGAACCCAACTCTTTTCACTTCCTCTAGAAGTAGGCAAAGAACCAAACTCCTTTTCCTTCTCCCAAAAGCAGAAAGAGAACCCAACTCCTTTTGCTTCCTCTTAAAGCAGGCAGAGAACCTTGTTAAGATAGTTGCTATTTGCATGCTTTACATTTTTGCAACTTATGAAGTTTTGATGATTCCAAACATTATTATTCAAATGTGTAGTTATCTCCTAACATTTTTTTTAGAAGAATTGTATTTGCTCTTGTGTGTACTGACATTTCAGGAAAAACGAACTCAAGACGACTCGGATCCTTGCTTGGAGAAACCTTTATGAAAGCCCTCACAAACTACCATAAGAAGATCCTCTCTCTCTCTCTCCCTTGTTTTCCCTCTCATATTGGCTCTCTCAAGTTAGGACAACAGCAAAATATACACTCTTGGGTAAAATAAGAGATCTTATATAAAAGCTCTTCGGATTTGTTCTTAATTACAATAAACTGATATTATTGTATAGAATGATCTTTCGATCTTTCGATCATTCTGTATGATCAGTATAAATTCAGCTCAATCAGTTAGAACAATTTGGGAGAGTCTGGACTATCAAAAGGTTAATTTATTCATATCATCCAGGATGATAGTGTATCATCCTGTACGATTAGTTCAAGTCATCAAATATAATTCAGACTATCACTCTAGATGGATGTCTGGATGATGAAAAAATAACTAAATCGTCTATCTCATCTAGAACATCGCCCTGAATGGATGTCTGGACGATGAAAAAAATAACTTGATCATCCAGGCCGATCTCTCGATCATCCCGGATGATTAGTTCAATTCAATACATATTTTCCAAAGCATCGCCCTTATTGGAACCAGGCCGATTATACATCATCCAAGAAGAACTAATATTTGTTAACTGATCATCCCAGACGATCCTGCGATCATCCAGGATGTTATGATCATAAAAAAATAGAAATATTTGCTATCATCAAAATTCTATTTTCTAAAATCAGATTTGTAACAAGCTTATCGTCATAGTGCTATAGTAGCATTCAAATCTACACGGTGCTTAATTTCCAAACTTTTTCAAAATGATCATTTAATGAATTAAAATTTTGGAATATTTTAAAAATGACCATTTAATGAATTAAAATTTTGAATATTCTAAAATGATCAACTAACAAATTCATATGGCTTTTAGTAGGGTTTTTAAATTTATTTTAATTGCTTGCTTTATTGACTAATTTTCCTATTTTTTCTATGTTATGTGCAAGTCTCTGTATTTTGAAAGTGTGGGGTGATGTATCTAATGATGATTATTAACCCTTACCTTTTATTTGTGCAGATGGATCTACAGAATGAATCAATTACCATCCTAATGGGATATGGAGCCAGTATTCAACTGGAAAATGTTGTGATCCATACTGGAAGCTCTTGAGCTA